CTCTCTGATTTTTCATCGTAATAGTTATCTTCCTAAATGGTAATGAGCTTGATAGTTTTTGAGCTCTTGTAGTTCTTAACAGTTTGCTTTTATATACAGGAATTCAAAACAACTAACAACGAAGAAGCTGCAGTTTTGGCTGCTTCCAGAGCAGCTTCTACTGTTATTGATGCAGCTAATGCCATTGAAGTTTCAAGGTTGGTGTTTTGGTTCATAAATAAATTATGGAAATTTCGATTTGGTGACTGTAATGGCTATAATTTTCTTAGGCTCTTAGCTTACTGATCTAATCCATTGTATATTGGTAACAGGAACTCCATTTGTGTTGGTGCTGATTCACTAAATCCAATTACCATCGAAACAGACATGAATGATGATGTTGACGAGTATTTCATTCCAGATATTGAATCCCTTGCTCAGATGAGAGAAAAGTTTTGCATTCAGTGCCTTGAGATATTAGGAGAATATGTCGAAGTTCTTGGACCTGTACTACATGAGAAGGGGGTGGATGTCTGTCTTGCACTGTTACAACGAAGTTCCAAATATGAAGATGCATCAAAAGTTTCAATGTTGTTGTCTGATGTGATGAAGCTAATTTGTGCTTTGGCTGCTCACCGGAAATTCGCTGCATTGTTTGTTGATCGAGGTGGCATGCAGAAGCTGCTTGCTGTCCCAAGAGTCACACAAACATTTTTTGGTCTCTCTTCTTGTTTGTTTACTATAGGTTCTCTTCAGGTAACATCATTTGATACTAGGGTGTTTTTAAGTGCTTAGTTTCAGTTTCTCTAACTTTTCATTTCTCACACCTATTATCTACTATCTATTATCTGTGTGTGTGTAAAGTTGGGTATGCTAAGATTTGGTGGTGCCATATATTAAGGGCATTGCTTGCTTTTAAGTGAATAATTAACCATGACAGGATAATGTTCAGTTGCTTATTAGTTTTAATTAATGCATATATTTTTCATAACAATACTAATGAATAAAGAAAGTCCTATTAATCCTATTCAGAAAAAGACTCCTAGTAATAAATGATATTTCTTCTGTCTAGGTGAGAAGTTAAATCTTAATTGTATGTCTTTGTTTTTTGTACTTTCTCATGAAAGGACAAGTTGTTTTTACATTTCTTTATCATCGGAGTATATTGTGCTATGAATACCATATCATAAACTGTTTATGTAAATATGTTTTTTTGGTTCTATGGTCCTACAGCATCCAAGTTAATAATTGACTTTAAAGGATGAAGCATTGAGATCCCACTAATTAAAAGGAGTAGCTCAGTTTGCATGTATTATGTGCCATGAAGTTATAATAATTTTACAAGTATTATTTGTACAGTTAATAATAGTGCTATACATATGTATAAAAAATTCTAAATATATGAAAAATAAATGATAAATATCATGGAATATTAACTTGTTTACTTGCAGGGGATTATGGAACGTGTCTGTGCACTCCCTTCAGAAGTTGTTCACCAGGTGGTTGAGTTAGCTATTCAACTGCTTGAATGCACCCAGGATCAAGCCAGAAAAAATGCCGCCTTATTTTTTGCTGCTGCATTTGTTTTCAGAGCAGTCCTTGATGCGTTTGATGCTCAGGATGGTTTACAGAAATTACTTGGCCTTTTAAATGATGCTGCCTCAGTAAGATCTGGAATAAACTCAGGGGCAGTAGGTCTCTCTAATTCAGCATCACTCCGAAACGATCGATCAACGGCAGAAGTATTGACATCTTCAGAAAAGCAGATAGCCTACCACACATGTGTTGCTTTGCGGCAATATTTTAGGGCTCATCTTCTTCTGCTTGTCGATTCAATTCGTCCTATTAAAAGCAATCGCAGTGGGGCACGGAATGTTCCAAGTGTAAGGGCAGCTTACAAACCACTTGATATTAGTAATGAAGCTATGGATGCAGTCTTTCTTCAGTTACAGAAAGACCGAAAGCTTGGTCCAGCATTTGTGAGAAGTAGTACTCGCTGGCCTGCAGTTGAGAAGTTTCTAGGCTGTGGTGGACATATTACAATGTTGGAATTGTGTCAGGTATGCACTACTCTACTGTTTTCCGTCTTATCTTTTCCATTTCTTGTTCATATTTACTTCTCGTCATGCATGTAGGCCCCACCGGTTGAGCGGTACCTGCATGACTTGCTTCAGTATGCATTGGGTGTTCTGCACATTGTTACATTGGTATCTGCCAATCGCAAGGCCATTGTAAATGCCACTCTTAGCAACAATCGTGCTGGTATAGCAGTCATTTTGGATGCTGCAAACAGTGCTAGTAGTTTTGTTGACCCTGAGGTATGCAGTTTGCTGTACTTTTCTCTGTCATTTTATTTCCTTAAATGATAAAAAATTTGGGAAATTTGATGGAATCCTTGTGTTTTCACCGAGTGCTTTTGTTCTTTTCCAAAACCATCTGGTTGCTTTTCAGATTATACAGCCAGCACTGAATGTGTTGATCAATCTTGTTTGCCCACCACCTTCACTCAGCAACAAGCCACCTTTACACGCACAAGGTCAGCAATTTGTTTCTGGCCAAATGTCAAACGGTCCTGGTGTGGAAACTAGAAATGCAGAACGTAATATCTCAGATCGTGCTGTTTATTTACCCAACCAGATGGATGCAAGGGAACGAAATGGGGATTCTGGTATGGTAGATCGGGCTGGTGCAGCAGGTACGCAGGCTACTGGCAATGCTTCCCAAACTCCTGCTCCAACAGCCTCATCAGGATTGGTTGGCGATCGTAGGATATCTTTGGGAGCAGGAGCTGGTTCTGCAGGCCTTGCTGCACAGCTAGAACAAGGATATCGTCAAGCTAGAGAGGCTGTTCGTGCTAATAACGGTATAAAGGTTCTTCTACATCTACTACAACCAAGAATATACACCCCTCCTGCAACTCTAGACTGTCTCCGTGCACTTGCTTGCCGAGTGCTGCTTGGTTTAGCCAGAGATGATACAATTGCACACATATTGACAAGGCTTCAAGTGAGTTGGCCTTCTATAAACTTTTTATAACTGCTTGTGATCCACATATGTATATATGTATTTTTTGTTTTCATTCTTATCATTGTATCGGCATGTGGTGCATAAAAATCCATGGAACATGTGCAAATAGTTTACCTAAAAGTTTTGAAGACTGAAAAATGTTTTAGGTTGTTGGTCTCGTCTTGTATTATCATCATACACTGGTCTGGATTTGACTTTTAACAATAAGCACTTCTGTATTGACTGAATGATTCCTATTCACAAGTTAAATTATTTCTGAAGAACCTCAAAAAAAAAAAAAAATTTCTGAAGAAAGGGATGGAAAGATTGAAAATGAGAAGCTAATTTCTTTGTGGCCACTTAAGGATTTTGGACCTGGGAATAACTTGTAACTTGTTCTTCCTTTTCTCTTTTGGTGTATACATAATGCTTTGTCCTTGTATTGGTTGGTTAGGTAGCTAATTCAGAAAGAGGACATTTAAATTGCCTTTTGGATTTTCCTTTGTTTATTTTTAATTTCTGTCATTAGTTTCTGACCATCTTAAATTTACATCTATCTAATGTTTAGTGATTGATTTTTCTGCTTAAGATAGATTCTATTAGGCAGTTAGACATAAGTAGGTTATATTGCAAAAATAGTAATTCATGCTTTATTGAACTTGGTGTCTAGGTTGGTAAAAAGCTATCAGAATTAATTCGAGATTCAGGTGGGCAGGCATCTGGAACTGAACAAGGCAGATGGCAAGCTGAGCTTGCACAGGTGGCCATTGAGCTGATTGCAGTAAGCCCCATTATCCTTCCTTTTGATACATGGCTGGCACCTCCTGGGTGCCCTAGTAAATACTTACTTCTCTTTTTCCCTAAAAAAAGCATCGTTATCCTTCTCACACTGTGGCTAATGGTGCTTTACTGACCACAAGGATCAGGTGCATATTTACATCTTGATAAATTTATGGCATCTTTGACCCCTTTATAGTTGAGCACATGGAAGGTATTTCTTTATATGTAACATTCCTTTTCAGTTGAGTACATGGAAGGTTCTTTATATAATGTTGATATTTGGTTGATACTTTGGGTTAACCGGCCTTCCTTAGCACATGGCTTGATCTATCAAATTATTACTTCTAACATTATTTAGTTGTCAAAGTTGCTAATATTAAAATGTTTAGCAAGTCTTAAGTTCCACTGCAACTTATATTATTGAATAGTGTTATAACAGTTTGATCTATAGATTGATCTAATTTATACATGGATTCATTATTAACTATACATCAATCAAATTAGTACATAGATTTCATGTCTATGTTGTAATGATTTGGTACAAGGCTAACTATTTCAATGCATCTATAGGATGAACCCTTTTTCTACACCCTCTATAGTTTTAAATCTCATTCCTGAATCTATTATTAACTTCAGCTATAGTATTTTCATTTTCAATATTTTTGTGGAAGAAATATTATTAAGATGAGTAGAGAAACTTGCAAAGATAGATAGGATAAGGCACATTCTCATACAAGAACAGAAGGAAACATAAAATGAAAATAGAAAGGCCTAAAAAAAATGGCCTCCAAATTCCTTGGCAAGCTAGGCAATTCCATATTTCCCCTAAAAATTCCGTTGCTTAGTCCAAAAAAAGTCCCTGAAAAAAAACAAGCAAACTTTTGCTTGTTTTTTTTTTTTTTTTTCTCTATGCATAACTGCAAAAAGTACTATGTCCTTGGTGTCAATGCCATCTAATTTGTGTAAGACCATAGTGGGTCTTTTGAGAGTTATTATATGTTACTCATTTGAAGTGAGAGTTAATTTTTACCAGCAAAAAAGCTTAACATGTGAGGCTTTAGAAAGCATCTTGAGAAAAGAAAAGATAGTCCTTAGACAGGCAAATGGACAAGCAAATAGGAAAAGGACATTTTCCTTAGAGACTGCCCTGTTGCATTTAGAGACTTGGGAGGAATTGATTGTCTTCTTAATATTTGTAATAAGTCACCATCAGACACTTGTGGTGCTACTGGTTTAGTGTTCTTCAGTATCTATTATCTTTTGCATGAAGCACAACAAATACCTAAAAATTTATGTTGCATCTTTGTGTATGCCACAGATTGTAACAAATTCAGGTCGTGCAAGTACATTAGCAGCAACAGATGCTGCCACCCCAACTTTGAAGCGCATAGAAAGAGCAGCAATTGTTGCAGCCACTCCCATCACGTATCATTCTAGGTATTTGGATTTTGTCCCATGACAGCTGTATTTATCCCTTGATTTTTTCTTTTAATTTTCTTTTACATCTTTTGACTGGCTACCATTTGCATTTTTTTGTGTCAATGCATTCATGAAAATTCAGGGAACTTTTACTCCTTATACATGAACACCTACAGGCATCTGGTCTGGGTGGAACTGCAGCAACACTCCTGAAGGAAGCTCAATTGACACCTTTGTCATCGTTGGCAGCACCATCGTCCCTTGCACACCAAGCTTCCACACAAGAAACTTCACAAATACAACTTCAATGGCCTGGCGGTCGTGTTCTTGGTGGATTTCTTTCCAATAAAGCCAAGTTTACTGCACGCAATGAAGATGTTAATTTGAAATTTGATTCTGCTATATCTGCAAAGAAGAAAGCACTGGCCTTCTCACCTGCTATTGGTTTTCAGTCAAGAAATCAGCCTCAATCCCATGAATCACAAGTATCATCAATCAGGAAAGTATATAGTTCAAAGCATTCTTCTACCCCTGCCAGTGCATCAGAAGTTTTATCAGAATCTGTGCCGAAGATTAACCTTGATACAGAGTCTCAGTGTAAAACGCCAATTATATTGCCAATGAAAAGAAAGTTATCTGATTTGAAGGAGACTGGATTGTCATTGTCAGGGAAAAGACTAAACACAGGTGATCAAGGACTTAGATCCCCAGCTTGTCCAACACCCAGTTCGTTCCGTAGAAGCTCCATGTTCCCTGATACTCCTGGGTTTTCTACTCCAATTGCAACTTTGAGGGAACAATTTGGTCGACCGATATCGAATAGCCATTTAACTGATTATTTGGATGACAATCAATTTGCTAACTCTCATATGTGTCAACCAACACCTTCCTCCCAAGTAGGACTTCTAAATGATCCCCCGTCCTGTAACTCAGAGCGTTTAACTCTAGACTCCATCGTGCTTCAATTTCTGAAACACCAGCATCGACAATGCCCAGCTCCAATTACAACTCTTCCTCCACTGTCTCTCTTACACCCACATGTTTGTCCTGAGCCAAGGCGGAGCCTTGAAGCCCCACTAAACATAACAGGCCGTCTTGGTACACGTGAGCTTAAAAGCTTTTATGGTGGAGTCCATGGAAACCGTAGGGACCGTCAATTTGTTTACAGCAGATTCAGGCCTTGGAGAACTTGCCGAGATGATGTTGGTGCTCTCTTGACATGCATTACGTTTCTTGGGAACTCTCAAATTGCTGTTGGGAGTCATTCAGGAGAGCTCAAAGTTTTTGATTCCAACAGCAACACTGTGCTGGACACCTGCACAAGCCACCAATCTCCCGTGACACTTGTTCAGCCATACTGTTCTGGTGAGACCCAATTGTTGTTGTCCTCAAGCTCTCAGGACGTGCGACTATGGGATGCCTCTTCTGTCTCAGCTGGCCCAATGCACTCATTTGAGCGGTGCAAGGCTGCAAGGTTTGCTAATTCTGGGAATATATTTGCAGCCTTATCTATTGAAAGCGCCCATCGAGAAATTCTCCTTTATGATGTGCAAACCTGCCAACTGGAATCTAAATTGTCAGATACAACGACCAATTCCACTGGACGTGGGCATGTGTACTCTCTTATACACTTCAGTCCTTCAGATGCAATGATACTATGGAATGGAGTCCTATGGGACCGGCGCGGTCCAAACCCTGTTCATCGCTTTGATCAGTTCACAGATTATGGGGGTGGTGGCTTTCATCCTGCTGGGAACGAGGTGTGTGGTACTCTGATATTTTTCAGGAGATTTTCTTCTAAATTACCTTTCTTCAAGCTTCTTTTAACAGATTTTTGGTATTTATTGTCAATCCAAATATGTGCTAAAATGTGGAGTTATGAATGTTTGGTTCTTGTAAGGTAGTTCCCTTCATTTTAAGGTAACTAATTTTAATTTGTTTTCAACAGGTTATCATAAACTCTGAGGTGTGGGATCTGCGGAAATTTAGGCTTCTTCGAAGTGTACCTTCTTTAGACCAAACAGCGATAACTTTTAATGCACGAGGAGATGTGATTTATGCAATTTTGAGGAGAAATCTTGAGGATGTGATGTCAGCAGTTCACACTCGTCGTGTTAAGCACCCATTATTTGATGCCTTCCGCACGCTGGACGGTATCAATTACTCTGACATTGCGACTATCCCTGTTGATCGATGTGTCCTTGACTTTTCAACAGAACCCACTGAATCTTTTGTTGGGTTGATTACAATGGACGACCAAGAAGAAATGTTTTCTTCTGCTAGAGTTTATGAAATCGGCCGCAAAAGGCCGACAGATGACGACTCTGATCCTGATGATGCTGAGAGTGAGGAGGACGAGGAAGATGATGATGACGACGATGACGGAGATGTGGACCCAATATTAGGACGGGATATTGACGGAGATGTAGAGAGTGATGGTGATGACATGAGTAATGATGAGGACGATGATGATAGTGTGAGCGATCTTGACGATGATGATGAAGGGGATTTTATCATTGATGACGTAGACTTGGATGGGGGAGGTGGGATATTGGAAATTGTGACAGAGGGTGACGAGGATGAGGATGATAGTCAGGTGGTTGAGTCATTTAGCAGTGGGGATGAAGAGGATTTCGTGGGAAGTGGGTTTGGTTTCTAATTTTTGATTATGCCATGGCGGGGGATACAATTGGTAGATTGGTTGTGTAAGGAATAGTCTGAATAATGTAATTATTATTCTTATTATTATTTCTAGTTTTGGAAAATTGTTTGTGTTTATAGAATCAGGCATAGGCTGAGGAGGAAGTATGACAACGATTTGAACTTTTCCACTCCAAAAAAAAGGCCAGTTGTTTCAAATTGAAAGTCCTAATTCAAGCATCATTCTTTTCTGATTACAGCTCTGATTTTGTTTCCGTATCAGTAGTTTTCCAGCGCAAGCTTTATGAAATTTATAACTTTTAATGGCAACACCATCATCAAGAGCTATGAGCATATTGTCCTCGTACTAAAATTGCACTATAAACTTGCATTAGTCCATCAACTAATCAAGTTGTTCTATTATTGGCAATGGACACATACCCAGAAATATTCATATTACAATCTTTACTTCGTTGTGGTAGTAGTACTAACATGGTGTGAGATAGTTGCCATGCCAATCTGCAGGCTATCTTACATTGTAAGAAACTTCGTACCATTTTATGCTGACTCGTTTGGCATTATATAAATTCATGTCTGTTGTTAGTTTTACTCATTTTGTGATTCACCATGAATTAGTTCTTGTGCGTATTTTAATTTTCCTAGGCAAGAAATTTCGGCATATTGTTTATACTCTTTTTGTATTAAATTATAAGGACTAATAAGCTATATAATCATAATAAACATAGAAACAAAATTAATTAATAGTAAACAGCACTACAAGCAATAAATAAATGATACAAAATGAATTTGATATACCTTGAGACCGTGTGAAGTAAAACATAACATAACACATAATTATCTAGAACATAATATAACAACACGAAATAATATGAAATGAAATAATAAACAATATGATAAAATACAGAATGAATAACACAAAATAAAACGACATAGAATAAAAAAACATACAATTAAATAAAATCGGACGAACTAAAATAACATAATATTGAGTTAAAAAATAATAATATAATATTACACAAAAAAATATATATATATAAGCACAAAACCTATATAATATTAACAAGACAGAAATGACACAAAACAATAATCCATTAAAAATTATGATATTAAGGAAAATGACACAAGGTGAACAATATGAAACAAACTGTTTAATTTGTGAGTTAGTAAATGTAAACATGATTTTGCAATTCTTTTAGATATTAAAATTTCTTAACTTTCTTAAATTTTTAATTATTATTAACTCTTTATCTTTTTTTAGTTTTTTTTTTTAGATGAGGTGGACGGTAGAATTAAAACTCAAATAATTAACTTTATAACGGAAATATTATTAAAATTTCTAAAATTTTATTTATAATTAAATTTTTGTTCGTATTATAAATAAAAGTCTGAAATATTTATTATAACAAGTTCCTTGCATTAATCCATCTGTACTAACAAGATCGTGGTAATATTATTTGTTAATTTATCACACGACATAATCATTAGGTTTCTTATGTGCGTGCCTTCTACAAAATCTAAGTATTGAAATTATCAAGCTTTGCACTCCATGAATTTTAAAATTGACACGTGTTATCCATATTTTCGACAATATTTCTTATTATAAATAAGAATTTTTAATAATCATTGAGCTCAATTTTTTAAATATTTTTATTGAAGACTATCTTCAGGTGATTGTATTTTTTTTTTTATACCAAAAATTTGTTAATAATTTTGTTTTTTTGTTTTTTTTTTTTTTACTTTTAGCTTGGGATCCATAATTGCACAAGAAAGCACGAAGTTTCCCAAATAATTTATTAATTTTAATTTTATATATTCATTAAAGAAGACTTGATGAATAAACTAATTATTTATGTGCACTAAATACTACAATTTGGGTTT